ACACATGCTCTTTTGTGATGCAGTTACATGAACTTTTTCTGTAGCACATCCTGTAATTACCCAATCTGGTAAAGCTGAGGTTCTCCACAGGTCACCAGCTAAATCATCTGCCTGGCTTTGCACGAGCTATAGGGGAGATGTGCTGATATAGGTGTGTGTTGCTTGTCACAATTGACAATTAGACATAACTTACTCCTGACCTATAACACGTGCTGTGGAAAAACAAATCAGCTAAAGTAACAAACCTATGCTGCTTCTAAGGCTCCATCTCTGATTAACTGCCTTTTATTGACCTCTGAGAGGGATTGTTGGACAGGGCACTGTTCTTTCTCCCTCACTGATGCTCAGCTGGGGATGCTTTTTAATTATATATTGCATCCCAGGAATGGGACAAGCAATTGAAGCTGTCTGGAGATCTATTTCTGAAGGCATCATTTCTATGGTCAATATATGGTTTGCATGATGACTTTGTTAATGATCTTATTCCTGGAAAAAAAACAGTATGTTAGACAGTGCTGCTGATTAGCCCTCAAATTTCAGGGCTAGATCTAAGGTCAACAATCACCTATTTTAACAAAACTTCAAGTATTTGAAGAAACATGGGGGGAAAAAAAGAGGGTTTTTTGTTTTTCTTTGACATCAGGCTGATGCCTACAACTTTCAGCTCTGTGTCTGGTACCATTTATCTTTTGCATTTCTTTCTGCCACTGGTAACTGGGTTTTGTTTGTGTTCCATCCTCGTGAGGCTGACTTACACACACGTGCACGGATAACTTTGTCCCTGGGGCACACTACTATTGATTTCAAGGACACTGGTTGTGGTTATAAAAGATGTTGGTTGTTGTGTGTGTCTGCAAGGGTGAAAGATTAGATTAGAGCTTCTGTAGATGTTGTGCCTCATCTTGCTTTTATGTGACAGTTTCATAAACCAGGGTAGCTCCCTCCAAACCAAAAGGGAGTCCCTGGAGTAAACCCTGTGTGAAAACAGAGGCGGCTCCTTCCCCATGGATTCTTCAGTTCTGTTTATAAAGGGTTGGGAACATCTGGGTACAATTGAAATTACTGATAATAGTAAAAGCTACCAGATTTCTGTAGGGTGATAAGATAAAGGGGGAGGTTTTATGTGGATGTTGTGCCCAGATCTGTCTCTTTCACTTGTTTGAAGATATAAGTGGCTAGGAGTTAAATCTATTGCATAGTTACGGGGGATTTCTGTGAAGAAACTACATTTGGGAAGAAGAGGACGATTTCCAGAGAGGCTTTGAGTATATGGTAACTGGTTATAACTACAAATCACTGTTTCAATACCATAATAAAAAGCAAAAAGGATTTCCTGGAGTGTTTGGCCCCCCCCAAAGATGGAGAAGGTACTGCCCTGTGCCACATGCCTGAAGATCAGCTCAGGGTTTCAGCTTTTCACTGGCCCTTGAGGTTTGAGCATTTGCAAAACTTCTCCCAGAGTTCAATGGACTCTGGAGCCTGTGACAAAAACCCTGCAGGAGAAAGGTTTTAGGGTTGATGTGAAGAGTCTGTGGAGACAAAATTGATATTCAGGTATAACACTAACTGCAACTACCAACTGAGACACTGGTTAGTGAAGGTAGACACCTGTTTGGATCTGTCATGGGACCAATGTTGGTGACTGATTTACACCTTTTAGTGATTTAAAAGCAAAAGATGGGACTCCTCTTTAATTTCATCTGTTGGAAAAGGAGGACAGATTGGACTTGAGTTGTTTAAAGCATTTTTACTTGCTTGCAGTCTAACTGACCCCAGCTGTAACTCCCACCATCCTTTGAGCAATAGCAGTGATTTATCCATGTAGGTGCCAATTTGCTGCAAGGAAAGAAAGGCTCCTAATAGAAAAGGGAAAGTCAGTGACCCAGACTAACAGGGTAAGTGCAGTCCTGTCACATTCCTTAGCCTGTGTGTGATCTGTGCAGGCTGAGAGGAAGTCCTAAATGCTTTCTCAGTTTTAAAAAAAAAAAAAATTCTCTCTAGCACAGGAAATAAAGAAATATGTCTCCGTATACCTTTTGGAATGCAGATTGTGTCTCCCCTGACCCATGTCAATAAAAACACCAGCATCTTGGGGGTGGGGAAATTAAAATCACAGGTCTATTCAGTTTGCCTTTCCCAGCTGGTCTTTCTTCCCTCGCTCACCATAGTGCAGTGATGTGACACAGGCAGTAACAAAGAACATTAAAGCATGCAAAAAAGATCATCCTTCTTTTGCCCTGGAATTTTGTTTCCTTCTCTTAATCATTTAAGAAGAAAACATTTAATATTTCTATTTACATTTGATGTGGAGCATCAGTGCCAGTGAGTTCAAAACTGTGGCAGAAATTTGAAACCTGATTTTTAGAATTGCTTGTTACCTGGGTCGTGCAAATGAAAGCTACAGGTATTTAGTACTTCTGAGTGTCAAACTTCTTTCCTTTTCTATGCAAACATGACTAGCTTGACACCATTTGTGTCCCTTTACATATGTGTGTACAAATGTAGCTGCCTATATATAATGTGCATACACATCCAGGCTACACAGAACTTTTACTCAGTTCATTGTTTGTATGTGGTCCCCAATGTAGTGAGATGATGTTCTGCCCAATGAAGTGACTATATCTTGACCTTTTTTCCCCTTCTTTACTTTTTTTGAGTCTGTTTTTACTTTCAGCTTCTCCTCCTTCATGTGAGTAAGGTGATGAGGGTCACGATGAGGATGTTGGCATCTGTATAGTTCTTAGCCAACAAAACATAAACTGAAAGTCATGGTGTGATTATGTCTTTTAATTTTTGACATACCTTGTCAAGACAGTGGTGGCTTCAGTTTGTTTTCTTGCTGCTGGCAGGTGGCAACAGTTCTTCAGGTGCCATATTTGACTTGGCAGCTTGGCTGCTTCATGTGCAGAAGATGCTGGGGAAGGATGGCACCGGGCTGGCAGCAGAGCTGCTCCAGCACCACAGCAGCCTGTCTCCACCCCAGGACATTATTTACTCTCTCAAGCAGCAAACAGGACTTGGGAGCTCCCCTGTGAGCAGGGAGGTTCCTAATCCTCTCCTTGCTGCAAGTGAACCTGATTCATTCCAGATGCACACAGACGTAATGACTCGGAAAGCTGCTCTCTTAAAATAGGACTTGCTGTGCAATCTCATACAGCCTTTCAGAAGAACTGAACTCCTCTGCCAGCCTAAAATCAGTGAGGCTTTTCAGAGTTTATTAACGTGTGAATTTTGTGTAGGAACAACTACAGTGTGCTCTTAGAAAGTGGCTTTTCTTTCTCTGCTGAAGAAAATGTTGTTATAAACATCATTTCAGTATGAGGCACTTTTAACAGAGGAGTGATACCTTTAGAAAGGAGCAACACAACCTAATGGTGTTTATTTTGACTTTATCTTTAGTGGGTTGAGTTTCAAATAGTATTTCATTCTGAATATTTTTTATCATTCAGTGGGAAGGAGAGTATTCTCAATTGGCTTCACTGGATGCTAAATCTCAAAGTGCTATTACCAGTTCAGAGAGATTGTGTAGTGTGCCTTGCATTTAGTTTCATCTCTCCATAAGATAAGTGTCTTGTAATGTTCCTTTGCTGACTGAAATGATACTTCCAGATGTTGCTAGTGGGCTTGATAGATGGTGATTAAATTTTGAAGTGATTGCAAGAAGTGAGATAATAAAGTTCATGAGAGATAATTCACAGTCATATATGGTTGTTTTATTTCTTTGCTTTCAAATAAGCATTTTTGATTATTAGAAAATCCCAGTGCTCTCTTAAGCTTCTTCATAGTTTGTTTTTTTTGGTTTTTTTTTCAGTAGTAAATGTTGAAGTTGGGGCCAAAAAGTTAAATGCTCCCAAGTAGTCTCCTATAGTTGTGCCATTAATGTCATATATAAGGATCAACAACTGCTGTGTGCATGTCCAAGTGTTTTTGTAAGCTGTGATGCCATATTACAATTGGTTCATAGAATTTGATTCTGTTGGTTCATAGAATTTTACAATCATAGAATGGTTTGGGTTGGAAGGAACCTAGTCCAACCCCCCTGCAGTGAGCAGGGACATCTGCAACTAGAGCAGGGTGCTGAGAGCCCCATCCAACCTGACCTGGAATGTCTCCAAGTAGGGGACATCCACGACTTCTCTGGGCAACCTGTTCCAGTGTTTCACCACCCTCACAATAAAAAATTTCTTCCTTTTATCTAGCCTGAAATGGGGAAGAATAAATTTCTCATTTGTTGTCAGTTTTGTGGGCAGAAAAAAAAAAAAAATGAAAAAAAGAAATTGTGAATGTAGATAAAAATTATTTCCATGTGACTGCATACAATTTTTTGACCCTCTTTTCCATTTCTTCTATCTCAAGCATAACTCTAAGATTTTTCACAGTTAATAGAATGCTGGAGTAAGTTTGAATTATTGGGGGACAATCTGCAGTAGGTTATGTATTTCAGTGTGGGCATAATTTCTTGCACTTGCTGCATTTTCCCCATACGATGACTTTACAGTCTTCAATAATTCTCACTAAAATTGTATTAACAATAAATCAAAGGCAATAGTTCCCCATGAGGATCGTGGGGTTTCCTTACAGTCACAAAAGGCAGTGTCAGAAGTAGGTCTCAGGAGCTGCTGCCCCTTTCCAGTACAGCCCCTCCACACCCTGCACTGGTCGTACTGCTGCATTCCCCTATATGATAACTTTACAGTCTTGAACGATTTTATTCTCACTAAAATTGTATTAACAATAAATCAAAGGCAACAGTTCCCCATGAGGATCGTGGGGTTTCCTTACAGTCACAAAAGGCAGTGTCAGAAGTAGGTCTCAGGAGCTGCTGCTCATTCCCAGTACAGCCCCTCCACACCCTGCACTGGTCATACAGCACGTTCCTGAGTCACCAGCCGCTGAGCTTTCAGATGGTCGAGTTGTGGTACTTCTGGAGCAGGAGGAAAGAAGGACCAGAGTGTGAGTATTGCCCCGAGTTAAACTGATATAACTGTTTCTGCCTGCAGTGTTGATGACAGAACTGCCTACCTGGCCCTGGGAGCAGTGAGGAACATCTCACTTAACATTTCCATCTCTAATGTGGGGGATGACGCCTACGACACCAACGTTTTCTTCAATTTTTCTGGGGAGCTCTTCTTCATCAAGATGTGGCAAAAGGTAAGTAAGGCTGATCTTGCTGGGAGCAACTCTGTTAACTTTAAATAAATTCAGTTGCAAGGTGTAGGGAGAGGGTGGCCTGTTCCACGCTGCCGAGGTGTTTGGAAGTGATTGCTGGTTATACTGGGCTTGAACTTCTTCCAGTTTCAGAGTCTCTTCTTTGGGGTTTTTGTTTTGGATTTAATCTGTGTGAATTATATCCTTTTGTTTCTGTAAAAGACACAACACTGTTGTTTGGTGTGCACTCATGAAAGACCATTCAGTTGAGATAGTAAGATACTAAGAGAGAGACCGGTTTGGAAACCAGTAGAGTACCACAGGATGCCTCTAGTTTGAGTAGTTCCACACTGCACTCAGCAGCCCTGGTCGTCTCCTGACGTGGGCTCCTAGGTTTTCTCCTTGTTGAAACCAAGATACAAGGCTGTTTGTTCTTTGCTCACGTCCTGGTGCAGGTTTGGTTTGTGGCCAGGGCCCATCACTAGATCCAAGAGCAGGAAAGTGCTTTTAATTTCACCTGCCTGGACTCAGGTGGATATTTGGAGTTTTAGTCTCTTTACATTCAGCATTAAATACTCAGATATTTCTATTAGTATGAGTTAGTTTAGAGGTAAAGTCATTGAGATACAAACACTGAGCTGAGTTTTGTGCAAACTGGTGGCCGCAAAGGCTGTCCAAGTGTGAGTAATATGAAAATAATGGTGCAAAATGGGAGCTGTACAGTTGTTAACAACACTCTGTTCCTGCTTTTCACAGCCATTTGTCTCTTTGCTGGAGCTTTGTTTTGATTTATAAGCTATAAGAGCAATAGTAAAACCAGTAGTACAACTATGGCAAAGTATGGAATTAACTTGATCCATTGAACCAATGATATTTTGCTATTATTTGTCATGGGTTGTGATAAGATTTTGGTTGTTATAAACCTCTTGAATTGACTCGTTACAGAATATACCAAAATAATAATTTCTTATACATGTCAATTCTCTCAGTGTTCAGTTTTGACTGTTGTTTTTGACACAGTTGCAAGCCTCTGAAAGTCGTCTTTGCATTAGGAGCTTCCTTTTCAGCTGTTGTGCTGCAACTGTGCAGTTTATCAAGAGGAAAAAAGCAGGGGGTAAAATAGAAATGCCTTAAGCCAATACGTAAGTTCTCCTTGATGGAAGTTTTATGTGAAGACACTTTCATGCTCTGGCCCAGCTCCCATTGAAGTCAGTGGGAGGGTTTCCATTCCTTTGCACTGGAAAAGAAACAAAGCTTGATGCATGTTCTTTTAAAAGGTTGTTGTGGTGGGTTTTTTCCTTCTGTGCTTACATGCTGAATATTTTACACACACGTATTAGCTGGAACACCAGTTGCCTTCATTATTCCTCTTGGCCAATGCAGTGAGGGATCAAGCTGAAGATGATGTGCTCTTTCCCTTGGTATTTTACCTTGGATCTATAGCAGACATGGAACATCTGTGCAGAAGGCTGCCTAGAAGGAGCAGTTCCTGGAAGCAGATGACATTGCAGTTATCTCCCTGCTCTGTGTCTTCCACTAATAGAAGCTAACATTTATTTAGAAAAAAAATTCAAAAAATACAGCACACATCAAGGAAGCATGTAGGCTTTCTTAGGTTTTTCCAAACAGGATCAGGGTATAATCTGCTATTATTCCTGGTGTTCCACTGTTCATGTGATTGATTTGATAGGGTTTGGTTTTTTTTCCCTTTCTGATTGTTATTTTAGTAACAGTTTTGCAGAGTTACAGGGATGTGTTGGGCTATTTTACTTTCTGTGAGTCAGCTTTTACTTTAGGACAAACTAATATCTTGTTGGCCTCACCACTGGTCCAGTTGGGAAGCTGGAATATGACCTTATAGCCTCAATTGCTGTGTTACATTTTCCTTACGCCCTTTGAATTATTTTTTTTTTTTTGTTATAAAATATCACAGCCTCCATGTTTCATAACCTATTCCCATCCCTTGACATCTGTGCATTATATGTACTGTGAATGTACTTTAAATAGATTTTGTTCCTGATTGAACATTCCCCAGGCAAAAATCCAGAATGTAAAGCCAAAATAAAAATGACGACTCCTAAGAGTTTCCTTAGTGGAGCAATTTTGGAATCAAAAGAGCTTCTTGTTGTGGAAAGCTTCTGTTTCAGCAGCAGCTACCTTTTAATGAGTAACACTGAAGTGGAAGAGAATGGTCTCTTCCATGTGGTTGCCTGATCCTTTTACTGCAAGGTGACTCTGGGAACAATGATCACATGGTGGACTTCTGTAACCTGTCTCTGGAATCCCTTCAGGATGCTTAAGCTCCATGTGTGTTTTCCCTTTGTCCACACTGGGGACATTTCTAGCAGATTCAGTGCAGTTTTGTTTCGTGCTATGGATTGGTTGCAATGAGATCTGACAGTGTCAAAGTTTTAATGCTGGGTTTTTTTTCGACAGAGTTTTTGAGACAAAATGCCACATCTTGTGTTTGGAAGGAAGGAGGGTGGCCTGGCTCAGAGATGATGACAGTAGCATTCCCTAAAAGGTCTCAGTGGAGCTAGCCCCTCTTTCCTTTCTGGAGACTGAGATTTCATGAGATGTGGTGGATAGAGACACTACCTAGAGGGACAGTAATTGGAATAATCTCCCCAGGGAAGTGGTGGATTTCCCAACACTGGACACTTTTAAGGTCTGGCTGGACAGGGTGCTGGGCCATCTTGCTTTGACCAAGAAAAGTTCGACCAGATGATCCTTGAGATCCATTCCACCTGGTATTCTGTGATACTTGGTAAGGCTTTGCAGCATCTCTGTGAGGTGAAAAAACATACACTGACTGATACTTAGGAGACTCCACCTATTCCACTGTCTGATTTTTCCTGTTGTCCTGCAGCCAGTCCTCCCTGTCTCCATGGATGAAGCCCAGTGTTTTCTTTCCATAGCTCCTGACAGACTTTCTCTAGAGAGGCACAGTATGTGGCACAGGCTGACTTCTCACTGCTGCCTGTGCTGCTTTTAACTCTCTCACCACTTCTGCCCTTTGAAGGGGCTGTCTTCCCCAAGGTCTCACTGGCCTTCTGCACTCAAAGCATCCCTTCAGCATTATAAAAACGAGGCTTTAGGGAGAGAAATGGGTCTGTAACTACAAAATACAGGATTTGTTAACTCATGAAGTTCCTGAAGACTTACACAACTGGGGGTTTCATCTGCAGTACCTTAGTGTATATATTTGTTTTTATGCTTACGTCTCCTGCCTTAGAGTTATGCCAATTATTATATCTCTTGTTGGGCATGACAACACTTTCATTATGAACCTTTTCCCTCCTAACTTCGGTGGAGTGAAACTGAGATGAAATTTTTGAAGCCAATTACAATTCACATTGCTTATTTGAATAAATCCTTCAGCTCGAAGGATAAAATTCTTTCAGAGCTGGGTGTCTTTTTCAGAGACTAGTGAAGATTGGACATGGTTACAACTCTTGTGCAAAGTTTTAAGCTCTCACTGTGACAGTAGGTTGTTTTATAGGTGCATGGAACTACTGCACTGCAGTGAATTTAAAAATGTGTCCACTAAGCAAATGCTCCTTTTGAAATACAGCGAGATTTAATCATGTTCTCTTTAAAAAAAGAAAAAAAATGGGACTTTATTGTCCCATAATCTTAATGCAGCTGCAGACAAGCATCCTGTTTCAGAGTCTGAAAAATCCACTTACCAGAGGTGACACCGCTGTCTTAGAGGAGAATGCAGAGTGCTGCTGTGTGCTGCAAAAAGAACAAAAAGCTTTTGCTGCAAACTTCTCCACCACTTCCCATCTATCAGAAGTGCCTCCTGGCTTGTTCTGCTGGCAATGTTAGTCAGCAGAGGCACTTTGTTAACCCTTTGTTAGCTGCTGTTCAGTGCAGGGGGGTATTTCGGGTCCGGCTGCAGAAAGAGCACTGTGAGCTTGTTGGTTCACGTGGTGTAGGGCAGAGCCATATCTTTGTTAAATCAGCTCAGCTATGGCATGAGATTTTGTAGTGATAGTATAAAAATAGCATCTAGAGCATCATAGGAAAGGCACCAGCAGTAACCCAATATGTATGGCATTAACCTCTCACTGCTCTGCAGGGACTGGCAGGAGTCTCAGCTAACCCCATTTCAGTGCTGGTTACAGAGGGAGCAGGTCAGGAAATCCCACTGCTGACCACCATTTCCAGCTGTGGATTGCTCCTAAATTTCAGCTAGGCTCCCAGCTTCCAAAGCCAGCTGTGTGTAACATTCCTGAT